GGAGCGGAGGACCAACTTTCATAGGAGTTGCATACAAGAATATCTGCAGAGTAGGAGTAGGAAAGGAATGTTTAATTGGAGATAATGACAGATCTTGGGCTTTAAATTGTCATGAGTCTAAATTTGGTCACAACAACATTTGGACCCCTGTCTCAGGTCCAGTTTCCTCCAGAGTCGGAGTGTACCTGGACCACAGAGCAGGTATTCTGTCCTTCTACAGCGTCTCTGAATCCATGACTCTGATCCACAGAGTCCAGACTACATTCACTGAACTGGTGCTGGCCGGGGTTTATGTTTATAACACTGGATGCTCTGCAGAGTTCTGTAAACCCAACTAGATTTTCTCTCTGATGGTTGAGCAGGGTTCATTATTCTGGCGTCTGTACTACTGTTTTGTTTCTGATGTTTCTGGTTAAATGCATTTCTCCCTGTTGAGGAGCCAGAAAGGAAACCACTGCTGATGGTTTCTTTCATTCTAATATGACATAAGTATTTCTCCATGAGAAAATATAAACTTCTCTGGGATCTAGTAGTTTTGCTTTAATATTTCTATTGAGCTATTAGGATGTTGTTGTTTAAATCAGTTGAGATTGGAATGAACTGAATTTACTTCACGTTGTTTTATTCATTGTGATTCAAAGAAGAAAGTGAAACTACAGTAAACTTAGAACTGATGCTGTTTTCTTATAAATCTTTATATCAATATCAGTCAAATTAAATGTCTGTTGTGTCTCTGGTTTTTTTCAATAAAACAAGTTAATTACAGAGAAATTTTGACTTATTTTTCTTCATTTTTACAATAAACTGAGTTTTATCATCTAAAGAGCAGAAACATTTCCTTCAGAAGGTTTCAGGTGATGCTGGAGAAGAAAAGATCCACATCTAATGTATAAAGCAACAATCTGACCTGAGTTAAAATGGATTACATTTATCTTTAAGATCAAGTTCCCGTCCTGGAAAGTTGTGCCAGTCTATGCTGAGATGGATGGTTGATTGTATGTATGACTGCATGAATGTATGGATGGATGGATGAGAAACGACTGGTTGGTTGGTTGATGGATGATGGATGGATGAATGAATAGAAGACTTGGGTGATTGGTTGGTTGGTTGATGGATGGATAAGAAGATATACAAACGGATAGTTGGATGGATGGACCAATCATTTGGGCCAGTCATTGAACGGTTGATTATTTTGTTGGATGGAAATCTGGATAAATTGGTGGCATCAACTAACGGTTTGATGGATGGATGGGTGGATGGATGGATGGATGGATGGATGGATGGATGGATGGATGGATGGATGGAAGACTTGGGTGATTGGTTGGTTGTTCTGGATGGATAGTTAGATGAATGGATGAATCGATGGATGGACGGAGGGAAAATGGATGACTAGTTGGATGGAAGAATCATTGATTAAATAGAATCACCAAAGGAAAATCTTAAAACTTTGACAGAAAACATGGAGAACTGTTGATCAAAGAAAGAAAACCCGGTTAATCGGAAGAAATATGGAAAGAAATGACTCAAAACCTTTCCCCAGTCCCGTATATTGAGTAAGCAACGTATACAAGGTCATAAGAAGTAAAAATATTATATATATGCACGTTTGCTGAGACTCTGCAAAGACGTTCTTGGTTAAAATTTATAAATTTTACTAACAAATGTGTCAAAATAAACATTACAGGAAGTAAAGTACACATCACTTACGTAGCATTAAGATTTTAGTGGGTGGAGATGTTGGAGCCTCTGGATCTGGAGACAAAAACAAGAATGAAGAATAAGTTAATTCACCTCCTGAAGGTTTATTTCACTTTAATATTGCTAACTTCTTATAGATGCAAACCCTTGCAGTCCTGAATGTTGAGCCCGTCCATGATTTGGATGTCGTCCACCGCTATGTGGCCTGTGGTGCGTCTGTCTGCGATTCCCTCCACCAACACCTGGAAACAGCAGCAAACAGGAAGCTCAATCATCAAATAAACAGGCTTTTTAAATGGTGTTTAATGGCCTTCTTAAAGAGGCTCTTTGGCTGTTTACTGCATTTGGGATGTAGACGTTTTAAATTTACATTTAACATCTTTCAGCTCTTTCAACTGCTATTCATCAAATCCAAGTAGAACTAACACCCAAAAAGCTCCACAACATATTTTTTTAATTGGTTGATTATCTATACATGTGCACATATATATGGAACAGGGTTTTATTTTAATATTATAGATGTAAAGATAGTCAAAATTGCTTTCTTTATTCTTTAGTTTTGTCTTTTTTCAAGTGTACCAAGATATTTGCATTACAAACTAAACCAAAAACACTAGATAAGAGTTTGTTTTTTGCAGTGTAGAGGAAACCCTGAATGTCTGTAAAAAAGACTCGGTTAATAAATTTTGCTTCTCATGCTCGTTTCTGATCCAAATGTCAGTCCATCCATAAGTTAATTATGTTGTAACTGACAGAAACGTCTCTGGCTGAGCCTCTTTCTGTTACTGTCAACACAAACCCGCCATTTTGAATCCATTTTTCTCAGCTGATCCAGACGCTCCTTACCTGATACGAGAGTCTTGTTTGAGGAAGTAAGACACGGCCTTCCCTCCATCTGCTGCCCTGATGGCCGCTCTTCGTCCACAGGACCTGGCCCTCGTCATCGTCGTCGTGGCGATAGCTGATGCGCAGCGCCCCTCCGCGCTCGCCGGCCATCTGGTACCAGAAGGACATGCAGAGGCTGGCGTCCGGCGTGGTGATGGATAAGCTGGCCAGCCGGGCCACCTTCTCCTCCCCGCTCTGCTCCTCTCCGGGCTTACTGGGTGTGATTGTGTCCGTCAGCTGCATGTAGAGGAAGTTCCCTGAACCGCCTGCAGGGAGCAGCAAAACATAAACCATGGCAGGCAGAGATGAGCTCCTGAAAAGCCTTCATGAATGAAACATGCAAGTTTTTTTCCTTCATATTTCTCAGTGAGAAAGACGCGCTTTATAAAAAGCCCACAAAGCTCTCAAGGGTGTTCTGGTCAATGAGTCTTTTCACTTTCCGAATATCTGCCTCAAACACTCCGAAGACATCAAGGACTTCACAAGGTTTTTCAGGGAAAACAAAGGATTGGGTATCAGGAGAAAGTCAGCCCTGCCGTCACAAAGAGCTCATTTTTTTACTTGTGATCTGGTTAAGTCAAAGAATCAAGGAGAAATCATTCATTTCGGCGCTGCTGTCGCCTCCACGCAAACATCCATCAAACCCATTCAATGGAGAAGAAGGCCAGAGAGGTGAAGCATGCTGATGGATTTCTTTGTTGAGATGTTTTTCAGAAAAAAAGTCGAACACTTCAAGGTTGTTCCATCGCTTAGAGAAATGTTTAAAAGCTGCGAACTTCTGAAGGTTTGCTCTGTTCAACATCCTGCTTATTACCAGGAGTTATAAATCTCTGGATTTCTTAAAGCTCACAGCTGCTTTAGAGAGACATGATGGAAGATTTTATAGGAAAATCTCTCTTATTGTGGAAGTTATTGTCATCATATGTAATTTATGATAACTATATTATCATAAATAACTTCAACTGATTTTAACCAGGATAGATTTTCAATCCACACATGGCTAAAATTACACATAAAGCCTCAACTATTTACATTTTAAAAAGTAAAACATTTCCCATTTATCCACAGTTTTCATTCCTCGCTGTTGGTTTTTATTTTTTAACCAGTTGTGAGGAACATTAGCGAAACCTTAAACTGCTGCTGCACAGGTTACTCAATAGGTTGTTGCTAGGTAACCAAAGAATGAGAGAGTTGCTAGGTAACCAAAGAATGGAGAAAGTTGCTAGGTAACCAAAGAGTGGAGAGAGTTGCTAGGTAACCAAAGTGTGGAGAGAGTTGCTAGGTAACCAAAGTGTGGAGAGAGTTGCTAGGTAACCAAAGAATGAGAGAGTTAGTTGATTCCACCAACCTTGCTTAGCTAGCTGTGAGATGTTGAGCGGCTAAAGACTTTCATAGGCCTACATCTCCCAGAATGCTGTGCGGTTCTGGATTGGAGTTCACTGAACGTATTATCTGTTGACATTGATCACGTATCTATTGGTAAATATATAACATCACCAATTTATTGCTTAACTCAATGTGAAGGTAACCTTTAAATTCTCAAAAAGTAACCTGTTAGATTCAGTTAAATATGTTGTTGGTCATGCGAAACAAAAGGTTCAAGAAATAAACGTGAAAGCTTTATTGTAGTAAACCTCATATTCAAGAAAGAAAGTTCTGGAAAGGAAAACTGCCAATGTGGAACCAAAGAAAACACACTGTAAGTTCTGGGGAAGCAACCTGTATTTTCAGAAAACAGATAGTTTCAGAAAAGTATTAAGTTATAGAGAGTGACACATAAAGTTCTGGAAAGTAATCTGTAAGTTAGTTACACAAACATACGCTGTAGGTCCTGGGAAAGCAAGCTCTGGGATAGCAACATGCAGATTACAGAAAGTCATCAAACGTTTCAGAAAACCGGTAGCTGAAGAAAAGTTTGATTCAAGTTCTAGAAAGTAACCCGTAAGTCACACAGAAGTCCTCTGTAGGTTCTGAGAAAACACCCTGTAAACTCTGGGATAGTTCCATATGGTTTATGGTTAAAGTTTCAAAGTGTAAGCTCTGTGTTCCAGGAAGTAAACTTTACGCTCTGGAAAGTAACTCTCGTGTTGTTCGCATTGATTATTGGTCAATTGGTCACTTTGAAAACGTGATTTTTACACCAAGATTCTATCTTGATCACCAATGAAAAGTTTTAAAGATTTAATTGAATGTGAATAGTTAATAAAAATCTGGTTCAAATAAATCATTAAAAACCTAAAATTACTATATCTGTCCATGATGAGCGTAAACGCCAGACCAGAACTGCTTTTATGTGACGACGGAAAAAGTAATGCTGTTGTTTTTCTGCTGTATTGGGAATAAAATGTGTTATTTAAAGATTTTATGAACATGCTTTGCTCAGCAGAGTCCCACGGCTCGTTCCAGGAGGATGCTTCATCCCGGAATAAACTTTATTATTATTATTTATGTGTGGCCTACCTGTGTGGTCGAGCGTGGGGCCTCTGTGGACAGCCAGAGCCTCGCTGCTCTGGATGAACCACTCGGCTCCTGAGCCGCTGTCCTTGGTCCAACCGCATAACGACGAGAAGTCGAAGTTACAGGCAAACCAAACGTAAGCTGGAAGACAAAACAACTTTTTCAGAACAAAAAACCATTAAAGTCAATGTTTGAATCTAAACATTGACTGAGTAAGACTGTCATAAACTTTACTGGACGACAGAAGTTATTGCTACAAACGATAACGTTGTTGTTTTGAGACCATTTTAATGGTAATGGCATAATAATGGAAGATAAATAAACTTTAAATTCTAATGAACATTTAACACTGGAGTTGGAAAACATTTTAAATATCCAAAATAAATAAGCAAAACAACAAAAGCAACAAATGAAATTAATTATGACGTCTCTGTAAACAAAATTGTCCTTCAAAAAAGGCCAGACTGAAAACTTTATCATCCAGTTTTTGGTAAATAAATGGAAATTATTGGGCTTGTTTGAACTCATCATATAATTAAGTGATTTTTGTAATATATCCAAACTTTTTGCCATTTTGGCCAAAATTGTCGACTCAAAAGTTGTCGTGATCCAAAGAAAACAACCTGAAATCAAGCAAATACAGTAGCTGGATGTTTAAGACGGTCTATTAGAGTCCTAGATAGAAAAAATGACTAAATTTCCACTAAAAACTCAGAAATTTTGTGATAAATTTCAGAAATTTACTACTCCTTTAATTTTGCAGTTTTGCAGTGGTAGAAGAAAGATGTTTGGTTTTAATTTCTTTTGGGCTAGATTGAATACATTTATTTTCAGTAACAAGAACAGGATTTGGGTCGCTTTCTTTCAAAACTCCTTAGCTGCTGACTTTTCAGTAAATTCCCTGAATAAACTTGGCTTAATCTTTTGTTAAAACTTAGTTATAAAACACAAATACTTTATGTCACACTTTACATTTTCCTACGTAAGACAATAATGTTGGTAACCATTTTTACCCTGGTTACAAATTAAAAGTCTCCATCTGCATCTATAGGCCAAATTTGTATCACTACATGGGCCATAAAAGGCCCTTGGACCACACTTTGAACACCCCTGATTTATTGCTTATTGCGTACCTTACATACCATCTCTGATACAGGAAAATGAACAGTTTTGTTGATGAACTTCACTTTCTTTTTGTTGGTTTTCAAACATTTAAAATGCACCAAAGCTTTGAGGAAACACCAAGTGATCTTCATAAAAAGCAGCTCTGAAAGAAAACCTTAAGGAGTTGATTATCCTTCTGCTGAATCCCAAGTATTTTATTAACTAATGAGCTCCCTCTCTCAAACAAAGCTCCTCCATCTGCTCCAGTAAAACCTTACAGGAAGCCAAGGCAGGGATTACTAGAAGCTTCCTGGAGCCAAGCATCATATAGTAACTTTATTAAGTTGAATACTCCAGTCTCACGCTGTGTTTACCAACTCGTTTAATTCTCTCAGGTTGAGAATGCCTCAGGATTTTGTGGCATCTCTATTAAAAACACGTGCACTCAGTTGTGTGTATTTATTCTCCAGAAGAAACGCTCCAACCAGCGACGGGTATTGCAGGATACCGCCATGTTTGAAACAGGTTGAAAACCTCCAAAGAGGTAGATTAGCTAGTAGCAACAGTAGCTAATCTACCACACCAACCACTCATTAATAATCTCAAAATAAACATCAAGCCTAAAAACATAAAACCGTCAGTTTTGTTGAATCCTGCTTTATCAAGCGGCGTTGTTGTCAGTTGCTATGGCAACCAGTCGGTGTGTAGCGTAGCTGACACAGGAAGTGAGAAATGTGTGGTTTTCTGGATTTTTTTCTGTTTTGCTGTGGTGAACTGCACTGAATTAATAATACCTACATGTTTCAGGTGTCATTTTGTCAACATAAACGTTTTACTGCGGCAGCGCAGCTAGTAAAAAATAAAATCGCCTTTCTGCCATCCAGACGCAAAATCTCCTTATTGTTGAAATGTGCTTTATAAATAAGCTTGACCTAATATTTCCTACTCCCTAAAGCAGCCTCTAAGTTGTGAAAAGTAAATGGTAATGTCTTTGAAAGTAAAGTGTGTCGCTACCAGAGAAACAAAGCACCACTTTTAGGAAGAGTCCCCAAATAAAAAGAGTGACAACAGATTGGGAGCAGGCTGGGTTCATGCATGTGTTTGGGATGAGACGGACGGGAGGAATCTCTGTCCGCTGCTGCTCTGGCAGTGGAGAGGCGCCAGCAGTTTAACCGCAGCATTCAGATGCATTCAGCAGTCTGTGTGAATTGGACATGTTTTTTTTTTCCAGGCTAATAGGATGCAGAGACGACTGTGGAGCTGCACTGGCAGACCCCAAACTGCCTTCCTGTGATGCTTCGGCTCGGCTAATTGAGACCCAGGAGGCTTTTATTCTTCCTCTGCAGGAGGAATCCTCCCTCCATTCTTCTCTTTTATTACGACTCTCCTTTTTTCTTTCTGTTTGTTTTTTCCTCCAGTCTGGCTTCTATAACTTCTTAACTTTTTCCACAAAATTCCTTCAGTTTGGGCCACAAAATTTGGTGTGTTCAAGGGAGATGAGAACTTTTACAAGGCTCTACAGTGGTTAAATGTAAGTATTAACATTTTCACACTGCCAGTTTTCCTTTTTTTGTTACGTTAGCTCTGATTTGTGCTTTTTGTTGACTTTTGCTCAGAATTTCTTGGATTAACAATCACTTCTGGACAAATGTTCCCCAATGGTTTTGGATGCTGGAAGGATTTTTGGACTGTTTCTAGGATGTGTAACCATGGCAACAGGGTGTTTTTACAACAGCTGATTAGCATCTGAAATGGTTAAACATAACCTGAACCATGAACAGAGAGCAGAAGAAGAAAGAGGAACCAGCTCTAACATCCTTCATATCCCCTACTCCAACATCTCTCATATGAAGAGTTTTCCTTCATCACCAAACTTATAATATAAGACAAATAAATCTAAGCAACTTTAGTGATTAAATTTATTTGGCAAACCTTTGAAAATCATAAACTTTGAGCAGATTTCGTCATTTAATATATATTTTTTAGCTTTTGTTAAATAAATGATGTAACTCGACCTGCGATGTGACAGATTTTATAGGACAGACTTTGTAAACATGGGGGAACGTTTTGGAGAATATCCTCACCTGGAAAGTCGACCTTGGGGTCGGGGGTCATGACGACTCCTGTTACAGACAGATGGGACAGTCAGGGTTAGGTCAAAGGTCAGGGAGGCACGTCCCAACCACACACACGTCAACACAAACACAAAATACCCGTACCTTAACAAAAAAACAGAACATAATAATTCAGTTTCCTAATAAAAGCCTCTAAAACTTAATGGTCAGAATAATCTGATGGTTAAATTCATAATTTAGACCAAAATAAATGTTTTAAACTTCAATATATGTTGCTCATTATGCTGTTCAAAAACATATAAGCTGCAGATTTTCCTTCATAATTTGAGGCTTAGAGGAAAAAATTAAGTCCAACTAAAGAAGTGAGAGTTTGATGTCATAGTTATTTATATAACAATATATATTATTTATACAGCGCCAATTCACAACAAATGTCGCCTAAGTGCACTTACAAACAAATTAAATCATTCATACATTCCAATTCATCCTAGTTATCACACAGAACAAAAAGCTCAATTAATTATTCAATTAATTATCTAAGTTTTTAGAGAGAAATAAAAATCTGCAAATATTTAAAAGAGCAGCTCTAAAAGGGAAAGTTGTGTTTTTTAACAGTATAATTATTTAACTATTTCATATATGAAAAATAGAAAACATACATTCAAGCAAACATTGAAAATCCCCAAACCAAAATCAATACATAGTGTGTAAAATAAAATAAAATTCAGCTAAAAAATGAAAATTAAAACAGTAATAACAACAAAAGAAGAACACATATTAAAAACACTGAGTACTAAAAAACTAATGCCTAGATAAAGAGTCACTCTCGTATTAATAAATATTAGTTATGAATTAATATCTATATTATTAATATTTGATTCCACCGATCCAAAGCTGCATGAATGTGTCCCATGTTTCCCTACATTTATTGGCCTTTCCTCTGACCACGCATGTTAATTCCTCTCACCAAAGCGTTCGTCGTACACCAGCGTGTTCTCCGTTTCCTCGTCGGAGTCCTGCTCCCTTTCCAGGCACTCCGGACACGACACGGTGGTGGGGAGCGTGGTCGGCGCTGCGGTGGTGGCGCCGAACGTGGTCATGGGCGGCATGGTGGACGGCGCGGTGGTGGGGGGGGGCCCTGTCGTGGTTTTCTCTGAAAAAACAAATTAAAAACTTATCAAACTTTCTACAAAAGACTAAATGTGAAGCGTTGAACAGGATCAGGTTGACAAAAACTTTCACAAATGTGTTTTTTTATGGAGCAGAAGTCACAAAATGTCTCACATTTACTTCAGTTTGCATCCTGTAAGATTTGGAAAGTAAACCGTAAACTAGAGCTGAAACAATTAACCGCGATTAATCGATTATGAATCAAATAATTTAGAAATCGATTAATCGCTGGCTTAAGTAAATATACAAAATATATACATTTTACATTTAAGATGAATAAAAAGTTCTTTATCAAGTGGCAGTTTTAGATTCATCTGGTTCAAATGGCATAAAAACTCTTATTAAGCATCTTCAGCCATCCAATTATTAATTGATTAATAAAATAATCAGCAGATTAGCCCTAAACTGTACTGATGTTAAGTAAAGCAGGAAAGACTGAAGTTTTTATATGTAAATGTCAGTTTTTTAGCTGCAGATGCATCTTCTGCAAGCCTTCACTGAAGATAAGCTATATTATTGCGTTTTAGACAATAAAATGTTTATTTTCTTATTTTAAAAAGTATTATTTATTTGGATCTTAATGTATTTCTAATACTGATGGCAATATAACGTGTTGTTGACACCTGGAAGAGAAATGGCTGAAGTTAGCGCTTTAGCACTAGCAGAACTAATGTTTATAGTTAGTGCTTTAGGGTTAGCTCATTAGTTAGCAGTGGTTGTTAGCTACCTCTAACTTACAAATTTACATCTATGCTCTAGAATGTTAGTTCCTGTAAACCGTTTGGGGTTAAAAATGTGATATATGAGCTGAAGAACACGTAAGCTGCAGAACCTATGCGGTAAGTTCTGGGAAAGTATTGGGTAAGTTCTAGAAAGTAACATGTCGTAGCAACATCGTAGACCCAACACTGGGATAACTAGGATTTTGCAGATTTTCTAGATTATAAGAAAGATTTCTAGTTTTCAAATTCTTTCAGGCTCAGTTGAACAAATTTATTCTCAATTAAAAAAAAAACTTGGGTCACTTTCTTCCAAAGCGCTTCCTATACTTAAGTGAATAAATTACATAAAAGCTGATTTGGATGCAGAAACGTTCTCAGTAAAAGTCTCTGGATTGATTTGGTTCTACCACAAGAAAACCAAACTAGTAATAATTTTAGACAAATTTCAAATAAAAAGAAAGCTGGGGGCCACAAAAATATCAGTCCAGGGGCCACAAATGGTCCCCGGTCTACACTTTGAACACCCCGATGTAGAGTGCAACTTGTAGGATTTCATTCATTTCGTCTGAATTCAGAGAAAGTAACCTGTATTTTCAGGAAAATGTCCTATGAAGATGTTCAGAGTGTCTTGTAGTTGGTTAAATTGACCCAGAATGGTTCAGAAAATTACAAAGTTTCCCCAAACTCAATAAGTTTTCTCTTCTCTTGCAAATAAAATCCATGTTTTATGGTAATAAAATCAACCAAACTTGAACAACAACAACAACAACAACAACAGGCTCCGGATCCCAGATGGTCGAGACGTAATTACAGCGTGTTTGTGACATCCTGAGTGGGATGGATGGAGGTTTGTTCTCACAGCAGCGAGGATGATTTAACTTTCAACCAATCTGCAGGCGCATCACGAAGCTCGTTAAGCTTCTTTCTGCTCCGCGCGTCCTTCTTGTGTTTTCGGTGAAAACAGATACGCGAGCGAGTGATCTCACATTTTAGATTTTAGCTCCAAAGAGTTTTAGTTTTTAACAGCTTGGAAGAGTTTTTCCCAACTCAGACTGATTTCTTATCCTCTTTCTGCTGTTCTGCTCTCTTTCACCCGCATATAAAACATATCTCATCTGCTTTTGGCTGCTTCTTATCAGTCTCCCTGCAGGGCAACCAGATCCTCCACTTCCTGCCTTCATCTGTTCCCCGCTCTCCTCCTGTGAGAGGTCGCGCCCTGCCTTCCCTCCCGTCTCCCTGCAGCAGCAGGAGCAGCAGCGCAGAGACAAACCTGCATGGCTTTCAGCTCAAACCTCAAAGGATTCAGCAAAACAAAATCCAACAGCAAGTTCATGCAAAGTTATCCAAAATGAAAAAATAATATTTGAGCTAATTTTGAGCAAATACAATATTACCTTCACAGTGTGTCAGGATTACTTTAGTGGCAAGTCTGAAAGACAGCAGGAACCTTTGTAGTTTTATGTATGTATGTATGTATGTATGTATGGATGTATGGATGTTCAGATGGTTGGTTGTTCAGATGGGTGGATGTTCAGATGGTTGGTTGTTCAGATGGGTGGATGTTCAGATGGTTGGTTGGATGTTCAGATGGTTGGATGTTCAGATGGTTGGTTGTTCAGATGGTTGGANGTGATTGGTTGGTTGGTTGATGGATGGATAAGAAGATATACAAACGGATAGTTGGATGGATGGACCAATCATTTGGGCCAGTCATTGAACGGTTGATTATTTTGTTGGATGGAAATCTGGATAAATTGGTGGCATCAACTAACGGTTTGATGGATGGATGGGTGGATGGATGGATGGATGGATGGATGGATGGATGGATGGATGGATGGATGGATGGAAGACTTGGGTGATTGGTTGGTTGTTCTGGATGGATAGTTAGATGAATGGATGAATCGATGGATGGACGGAGGGAAAATGGATGACTAGTTGGATGGAAGAATCATTGATTAAATAGAATCACCAAAGGAAAATCTTAAAACTTTGACAGAAAACATGGAGAACTGTTGATCAAAGAAAGAAAACCCGGTTAATCGGAAGAAATATGGAAAGAAATGACTCAAAACCTTTCCCCAGTCCCGTATATTGAGTAAGCAACGTATACAAGGTCATAAGAAGTAAAAATATTATATATATGCACGTTTGCTGAGACTCTGCAAAGACGTTCTTGGTTAAAATTTATAAATTTTACTAACAAATGTGTCAAAATAAACATTACAGGAAGTAAAGTACACATCACTTACGTAGCATTAAGATTTTAGTGGGTGGAGATGTTGGAGCCTCTGGATCTGGAGACAAAAACAAGAATGAAGAATAAGTTAATTCACCTCCTGAAGGTTTATTTCACTTTAATATTGCTAACTTCTTATAGATGCAAACCCTTGCAGTCCTGAATGTTGAGCCCGTCCATGATTTGGATGTCGTCCACCGCTATGTGGCCTGTGGTGCGTCTGTCTGCGATTCCCTCCACCAACACCTGGAAACAGCAGCAAACAGGAAGCTCAATCATCAAATAAACAGGCTTTTTAAATGGTGTTTAATGGCCTTCTTAAAGAGGCTCTTTGGCTGTTTACTGCATTTGGGATGTAGACGTTTTAAATTTACATTTAACATCTTTCAGCTCTTTCAACTGCTATTCATCAAATCCAAGTAGAACTAACACCCAAAAAGCTCCACAACATATTTTTTTAATTGGTTGATTATCTATACATGTGCACATATATATGGAACAGGGTTTTATTTTAATATTATAGATGTAAAGATAGTCAAAATTGCTTTCTTTATTCTTTAGTTTTGTCTTTTTTCAAGTGTACCAAGATATTTGCATTACAAACTAAACCAAAAACACTAGATAAGAGTTTGTTTTTTGCAGTGTAGAGGAAACCCTGAATGTCTGTAAAAAAGACTCGGTTAATAAATTTTGCTTCTCATGCTCGTTTCTGATCCAAATGTCAGTCCATCCATAAGTTAATTATGTTGTAACTGACAGAAACGTCTCTGGCTGAGCCTCTTTCTGTTACTGTCAACACAAACCCGCCATTTTGAATCCATTTTTCTCAGCTGATCCAGACGCTCCTTACCTGATACGAGAGTCTTGTTTGAGGAAGTAAGACACGGCCTTCCCTCCATCTGCTGCCCTGATGGCCGCTCTTCGTCCACAGGACCTGGCCCTCGTCATCGTCGTCGTGGCGATAGCTGATGCGCAGCGCCCCTCCGCGCTCGCCGGCCATCTGGTACCAGAAGGACATGCAGAGGCTGGCGTCCGGCGTGGTGATGGATAAGCTGGCCAGCCGGGCCACCTTCTCCTCCCCGCTCTGCTCCTCTCCGGGCTTACTGGGTGTGATTGTGTCCGTCAGCTGCATGTAGAGGAAGTTCCCTGAACCGCCTGCAGGGAGCAGCAAAACATAAACCATGGCAGGCAGAGATGAGCTCCTGAAAAGCCTTCATGAATGAAACATGCAAGTTTTTTTCCTTCATATTTCTCAGTGAGAAAGACGCGCTTTATAAAAAGCCCACAAAGCTCTCAAGGGTGTTCTGGTCAATGAGTCTTTTCACTTTCCGAATATCTGCCTCAAACACTCCGAAGACATCAAGGACTTCACAAGGTTTTTCAGGGAAAACAAAGGATTGGGTATCAGGAGAAAGTCAGCCCTGCCGTCACAAAGAGCTCATTTTTTTACTTGTGATCTGGTTAAGTCAAAGAATCAAGGAGAAATCATTCATTTCGGCGCTGCTGTCGCCTCCACGCAAACATCCATCAAACCCATTCAATGGAGAAGAAGGCCAGAGAGGTGAAGCATGCTGATGGATTTCTTTGTTGAGATGTTTTTCAGAAAAAAAGTCGAACACTTCAAGGTTGTTCCATCGCTTAGAGAAATGTTTAAAAGCTGCGAACTTCTGAAGGTTTGCTCTGTTCAACATCCTGCTTATTACCAGGAGTTATAAATCTCTGGATTTCTTAAAGCTCACAGCTGCTTTAGAGAGACATGATGGAAGATTTTATAGGAAAATCTCTCTTATTGTGGAAGTTATTGTCATCATATGTAATTTATGATAACTATATTATCATAAATAACTTCAACTGATTTTAACCAGGATAGATTTTCAATCCACACATGGCTAAAATTACACATAAAGCCTCAACTATTTACATTTTAAAAAGTAAAACATTTCCCATTTATCCACAGTTTTCATTCCTCGCTGTTGGTTTTTATTTTTTAACCAGTTGTGAGGAACATTAGCGAAACCTTAAACTGCTGCTGCACAGGTTACTCAATAGGTTGTTGCTAGGTAACCAAAGAATGAGAGAGTTGCTAGGTAACCAAAGAATGGAGAAAGTTGCTAGGTAACCAAAGAGTGGAGAGAGTTGCTAGGTAACCAAAGTGTGGAGAGAGTTGCTAGGTAACCAAAGTGTGGAGAGAGTTGCTAGGTAACCAAAGAATGAGAGAGTTAGTTGATTCCACCAACCTTGCTTAGCTAGCTGTGAGATGTTGAGCGGCTAAAGACTTTCATAGGCCTACATCTCCCAGAATGCTGTGCGGTTCTGGATTGGAGTTCACTGAACGTATTATCTGTTGACATTGATCACGTATCTATTGGTAAATATATAACATCACCAATTTATTGCTTAACTCAATGTGAAGGTAACCTTTAAATTCTCAAAAAGTAACCTGTTAGATTCAGTTAAATATGTTGTTGGTCATGCGAAACAAAAGGTTCAAGAAATAAACGTGAAAGCTTTATTGTAGTAAACCTCATATTCAAGAAAGAAAGTTCTGGAAAGGAAAACTGCCAATGTGGAACCAAAGAAAACACACTGTAAGTTCTGGGGAAGCAACCTGTATTTTCAGAAAACAGATAGTTTCAGAAAAGTATTAAGTTATAGAGAGTGACACATAAAGTTCTGGAAAGTAATCTGTAAGTTAGTTACACAAACATACGCTGTAGGTCCTGGGAAAGCAAGCTCTGGGATAGCAACATGCAGATTACAGAAAGTCATCAAACGTTTCAGAAAACCGGTAGCTGAAGAAAAGTTTGATTCAAGTTCTAGAAAGTAACCCGTAAGTCACACAGAAGTCCTCTGTAGGTTCTGAGAAAACACCCTGTAAACTCTGGGATAGTTCCATATGGTTTATGGTTAAAGTTTCAAAGTGTAAGCTCTGTGTTCCAGGAAGTAAACTTTACGCTCTGGAAAGTAACTCTCGTGTTGTTCGCATTGATTATTGGTCAATTGGTCACTTTGAAAACGTGATTTTTACACCAAGATTCTATCTTGATCACCAATGAAAAGTTTTAAAGATTTAATTGAATGTGAATAGTTAATAAAAATCTGGTTCAAATAAATCATTAAAAACCTAAAATTACTATATCTGTCCATGATGAGCGTAAACGCCAGACCAGAACTGCTTTTATGTGACGACGGAAAAAGTAATGCTGTTGTTTTTCTGCTGTATTGGGAATAAAATGTGTTATTTAAAGATTTTATGAACATGCTTTGCTCAGCAGAGTCCCACGGCTCGTTCCAGGAGGATGCTTCATCCCGGAATAAACTTTATTATTATTATTTATGTGTGGCCTACCTGTGTGGTCGAGCGTGGGGCCTCTGTGGACAGCCAGAGCCTCGCTGCTCTGGATGAACCACTCGGCTCCTGAGCCGCTGTCCTTGGTCCAACCGCATAACGACGAGAAGTCGAAGTTACAGGCAAACCAAACGTAAGCTGGAAGACAAAACAACTTTTTCAGAACAAAAAACCATTAAAGTCAATGTTTGAATCTAAACATTGACTGAGTAAGACTGTCATAAACTTTACTGGACGACAGAAGTTATTGCTACAAACGATAACGTTGTTGTTTTGAGACCATTTTAATGGTAATGGCATAATAATGGAAGATAAATAAACTTTAAATTCTAATGAACATTTAACACTGGAGTTGGAAAACATTTTAAATATCCAAAATAAATAAGCAAAACAACAAAAGCAACAAATGAAATTAATTATGACGTCTCTGTAAACAAAATTGTCCTTCAAAAAAGGCCAGACTGAAAACTTTATCATCCAGTTTTTGGTAAATAAATGGAAATTATTGGGCTTGTTTGAACTCATCATATAATTAAGTGATTTTTGTAATATATCCAAACTTTTTGCCATTTTGGCCAAAATTGTCGACTCAAAAGTTGTCGTGATCCAAAGAAAACAACCTGAAATCAAGCAAATACAGTAGCTGGATGTTTAAGACGGTCTATTAGAGTCCTAGATAGAAAAAATGACTAAATTTCCACTAAAAACTCAGAAATTTTGTGATAAATTTCAGAAATTTACTACTCCTTTAATTTTGCAGTTTTGCAGTGGTAGAAGAAAGATGTTTGGTTTTAATTTCTTTTGGGCTAGATTGAATACATTTATTTTCAGTAACAAGAACAGGATTTGGGTCGCTTTCTTTCAAAACTCCTTAGCTGCTGACTTTTCAGTAAATTCCCTGAATAAACTTGGCTTAATCTTTTGTTAAAACTTAGTTATAAAACACAAATACTTTATGTCACACTTTACATTTTCCTACGTAAGACAATAATGTTGGTAACCATTTTTACCCTGGTTACAAATTAAAAGTCTCCATCTGCATCTATAGGCCAAATTTGTATCACTACATGGGCCATAAAAGGCCCTTGGACCACACTTTGAACACCCCTGATTTATTGCTTATTGCGTACCTTACATACCATCTCTGATACAGGAAAATGAACAGTTTTGTTGATGAACTTCACTTTCTTTTTGTTGGTTTTCAAACATTTAAAATGCACCAAAGCTTTGAGGAAACACCAAGTGATCTTCATAAAAAGCAGCTCTGAAAGAAAACCTTAAGGAGTTGATTATCCTTCTGCTGAATCCCAAGTATTTTATTAACTAATGAGCTCCCTCTCTCAAACAAAGCTCCTCCATCTGCTCCAGTAAAACCTTACAGGAAGCCAAGGCAGGGATTACTAGAAGCTTCCTGGAGCCAAGCATCATATAGTAACTTTATTAAGTTGAATACTCCAGTCTCACGCTGTGTTTACCAACTCGTTTAATTCTCTCAGGTTGAGAATGCCTCAGGATTTTGTGGCATCTCTATTAAAAACACGTGCACTCAGTTGTGTGTATTTATTCTCCAGAAGAAACGCTCCAACCAGCGACGGGTATTGCAGGATACCGCCATGTTTGAAACAGGTTGAAAACCTCCAAAGAGGTAGATTAGCTAGTAGCAACAGTAGCTAATCTACCACACCAACCACTCATTAATAATCTCAAAATAAACATCAAGCCTAAAAACATAAAACCGTCAGTTTTGTTGAATCCTGCTTTATCAAGCGGCGTTGTTGTCAGTTGCTATGGCAACCAGTCGGTGTGTAGCGTAGCTGACACAGGAAGTGAGAAATGTGTGGTTTTCTGGATTTTTTTCTGTTTTGCTGTGGTGAACTGCACTGAATTAATAATACCTACATGTTTCAGGTGTCATTTTGTCAACATAAACGTTTTACTGCGGCAGCGCAGCTAGTAAAAAATAAAATCGCCTTTCTGCCATCCAGACGCAAAATCTCCTTATTGTTGAAATGTGCTTTATAAATAAGCTTGACCTAATATTTCCTACTCCCTAAAGCAGCCTCTAAGTTGTGAAAAGTAAATGGTAATGTCTTTGAAAGTAAAGTGTGTCGCTACCAGAGAAACAAAGCACCACTTTTAGGAAGAGTCCCCAAATAAAAAGAGTGACAACAGATTGGGAGCAGGCTGGGTTCATGCATGTGTTTGGGATGAGACGGACGGGAGGAATCTCTGTCCGCTGCTGCTCTGGCAGTGGAGAGGCGCCAGCAGTTTAACCGCAGCATTCAGATGCATTCAGCAGTCTGTGTGAATTGGACATGTTTTTTTTTTCCAGGCTAATAGGATGCAGAGACGACTGTGGAGCTGCACTGGCAGACCCCAAACTGCCTTCCTGTGATGCTTCGGCTCGGCTAATTGAGACCCAGGAGGCTTTTATTCTTCCTCTGCAGGAGGAATCCTCCCTCCATTCTTCTCTTTTATTACGACTCTCCTTTTTTCTTTCTGTTTGTTTTTTCCTCCAGTCTGGCTTCTATAACTTCTTAACTTTTTCCACAAAATTCCTTCAGTTTGGGCCACAAAATTTGGTGTGTTCAAGGGAGATGAGAACTTTTACAAGGCTCTACAGTGGTTAAATGTAAGTATTAACATTTTCACACTGCCAGTTTTCCTTTTTTTGTTACGTTAGCTCTGATTTGTGCTTTTTGTTGACTTTTGCTCAGAATTTCTTGGATTAACAATCACTTCTGGACAAATGTTCCCCAATGGTTTTGGATGCTGGAAGGATTTTTGGACTGTTTCTAGGATGTGTAACCATGGCAACAGGGTGTTTTTACAACAGCTGATTAGCATCTGAAATGGTTAAACATAACCTGAACCATGAACAGAGAGCAGAAGAAGAAAGAGGAACCAGCTCTAACATCCTTCATATCCCCTACTCCAACATCTCTCATATGAAGAGTTTTCCTTCATCACCAAACTTATAATATAAGACAAATAAATCTAAGCAACTTTAGTGATTAAATTTATTTGGCAAACCTTTGAAAATCATAAACTTTGAGCAGATTTCGTCATTTAATATATATTTTTTAGCTTTTGTTAAATAAATGATGTAACTCGACCTGCGATGTGACAGATTTTATAGGACAGACTTTGTAAACATGGGGGAACGTTTTGGAGAATATCCTCACCTGGAAAGTCGACCTTGGGGTCGGGGGTCATGACGACTCCTGTTACAGACAGATGGGACAGTCAGGGTTAGGTCAAAGGTCAGGGAGGCACGTCCCAACCACACACACGTCAACACAAACACAAAATACCCGTACCTTAACAAAAAAACAGAACATAATAATTCAGTTTCCTAATAAAAGCCTCTAAAACTTAATGGTCAGAATAATCTGATGGTTAAATTCATAATTTAGACCAAAATAAATGTTTTAAACTTCAATATATGTTGCTCATTATGCTGTTCAAAAACATATAAGCTGCAGATTTTCCTTCATAATTTGAGGCTTAGAGGAAAAAATTAAGTCCAACTAAAGAAGTGAGAGTTTGATGTCATAGTTATTTATATAACAATATATATTATTTATACAGCGCCAATTCACAACAAATGTCGCCTAAGTGCACTTACAAACAAATTAAATCATTCATACATTCCAATTCATCCTAGTTATCACACAGAACAAAAAGCTCAATTAATTATTCAATTAATTATCTAAGTTTTTAGAGAGAAATAAAAATCTGCAAATATTTAAAAGAGCAGCTCTAAAAGGGAAAGTTGTGTTTTTTAACAGTATAATTATTTAACTATTTCATATATGAAAAATAGAAAACATACATTCAAGCAAACATTGAAAATCCCCAAACCAAAATCAATACATAGTGTGTAAAATAAAATAAAATTCAGCTAAAAAATGAAAATTAAAACAGTAATAACAACAAAAGAAGAACACATATTAAAAACACTGAGTACTAAAAAACTAATGCCTAGATAAAGAGTCACTCTCGTATTAATAAATATTAGTTATGAATTAATATCTATATTATTAATATTTGATTCCACCGATCCAAAGCTGCATGAATGTGTCCCATGTTTCCCTACATTTATTGGCCTTTCCTCTGACCACGCATGTTAATTCCTCTCACCAAAGCGTTCGTCGTACACCAGCGTGTTCTCCGTTTCCTCGTCGGAGTCCTGCTCCCTTTCCAGGCACTCCGGACACGACACGGTGGTGGGGAGCGTGGTCGGCGCTGCGGTGGTGGCGCCGAACGTGGTCATGGGCGGCATGGTGGACGGCGCGGTGGTGGGGGGGGGCCCTGTCGTGGTTTTCTCTGAAAAAACAAATTAAAAACTTATCAAACTTTCTACAAAAGACTAAATGTGAAGCGTTGAACAGGATCAGGTTGACAAAAACTTTCACAAATGTGTTTTTTTATGGAGCAGAAGTCACAAAATGTCTCACATTTACTTCAGTTTGCATCCTGTAAGATTTGGAAAGTAAACCGTAAACTAGAGCTGAAACAATTAACCGCGATTAATCGATTATGAATCAAATAATTTAGAAATCGATTAATCGCTGGCTTAAGTAAATATACAAAATATATACATTTTACATTTAAGATGAATAAAAAGTTCTTTATCAAGTGGCAGTTTTAGATTCATCTGGTTCAAATGGCATAAAAACTCTTATTAAGCATCTTCAGCCATCCAATTATTAATTGATTAATAAAATAATCAGCAGATTAGCCCTAAACTGTACTGATGTTAAGTAAAGCAGGAAAGACTGAAGTTTTTATATGTAAATGTCAGTTTTTTAGCTGCAGATGCATCTTCTGCAAGCCTTCACTGAAGATAAGCTATATTATTGCGTTTTAGACAATAAAATGTTTATTTTCTTATTTTAAAAAGTATTATTTATTTGTATCTTAATGTATTTCTAATACTGATGGCAATATAACGTGTTGTTGACACCTGGAAGAGAAATGGCTGAAGTTAGCGCTTTAGCACTAGCAGAACTAATGTTTATAGTTAGTGCTTTAGGGTTAGCTCATTAGTTAGCAGTGGTTGTTAGCTACCTCTAACTTACAAATTTACATCTATGCTCTAGAATGTTAGTTCCTGTAAACCGTTTGGGGTTAAAAATGTGATATATGAGCTGAAGAACACGTAAGCTGCAGAACCTATGCGGTAAGTTCTGGGAAAGTATTGGGTAAGTTCTAGAAAGTAACATGTCGTAGCAACATCGTAGACCCAACACTGGGATAACTAGGATTTTGCAGATTTTCTAGATTATAAGAAAGATTTCTAGTTTTCAAATTCTTTCAGGCTCAGTTGAACAAATTTATTCTCAATTAAAAAAAAAACTTGGGTCACTTTCTTCCAAAGCGCTTCCTATACTTAAGTGAATAAATTACATAAAAGCTGATTTGGATGCAGAAACGTTCTCAGTAAAAGTCTCTGGATTGATTTGGTTCTACCACAAGAAAACCAAACTAGTAATAATTTTAGACAAATTTCAAATAAAAAGAAAGCTGGGGGCCACAAAAATATCAGTCCAGGGGCCACAAATGGTCCCCGGTCTACACTTTGAACACCCCGATGTAGAGTGCAACTTGTAGGATTTCATTCATTTCGTCTGAATTCAGAGAAAGTAACCTGTATTTTCAGGAAAATGTCCTATGAAGATGTTCAGAGTGTCTTGTAGTTGGTTAAATTGACCCAGAATGGTTCAGAAAATTACAAAGTTTCCCCAAACTCAATAAGTTTTCTCTTCTCTTGCAAATAAAATCCATGTTTTATGGTAATAAAATCAACCAAACTTGAACAACAACAACAACAACAACAACAGGCTCCGGATCCCAGATGGTCGAGACGTAATTACAGCGTGTTTGTGACATCCTGAGTGGGATGGATGGAGGTTTGTTCTCACAGCAGCGAGGATGATTTAACTTTCAACCAATCTGCAGGCGCATCACGAAGCTCGTTAAGCTTCTTTCTGCTCCGCGCGTCCTTCTTGTGTTTTCGGTGAAAACAGATACGCGAGCGAGTGATCTCACATTTTAGATTTTAGCTCCAAAGAGTTTTAGTTTTTAACAGCTTGGAAGAGTTTTTCCCAACTCAGACTGATTTCTTATCCTCTTTCTGCTGTTCTGCTCTCTTTCACCCGCATATAAAACATATCTCATCTGCTTTTGGCTGCTTCTTATCAGTCTCCCTGCAGGGCAACCAGATCCTCCACTTCCTGCCTTCATCTGTTCCCCGCTCTCCTCCTGTGAGAGGTCGCGCCCTGCCTTCCCTCCCGTCTCCCTGCAGCAGCAGGAGCAGCAGCGCAGAGACAAACCTGCATGGCTTTCAGCTCAAACCTCAAAGGATTCAGCAAAACAAAATCCAACAGCAAGTTCATGCAAAGTTATCCAAAATGAAAAAATAATATTTGAGCTAATTTTGAGCAAATACAATATTACCTTCACAGTGTGTCAGGATTACTTTAGTGGCAAGTCTGAAAGACAGCAGGAACCTTTGTAGTTTTATGTATGTATGTATGTATGTATGTATGGATGTATGGATGTTCAGATGGTTGGTTGTTCAGATGGGTGGATGTTCAGATGGTTGGTTGGATGTTCAGATGGTTGGTTGTTCAGATGGTTGGTTGGATGTTCAGATGGTTGGATGTTCAGATGGGTGGATGTTCAGATGGTTGGTTGTTCAGATGGGTGGATGTTCAGATGGTTGGTTGGATGTTCAGATGGTTGGATGTTCAGATGGTTGGATGGATGTTCAGGTGGTTGGTTGGATGTTCAGGTGGTTGGATGTTCAGGTGGTTGGATGTTCAGATGGTTGGTTGGATGTTCAGATGGGTGGATGTTCAGATGGTTGGTTGGATGTTCAGATGGTTGGATGTTCAGATGGTTGGATGGATGTTCAGATCGTTGGGTGGATGTTCAGGTGGTTGGATGTTCAGGTGGTTGGATGTTCAGGTGGTTGGATGTTCAGGTGGTTGGATGTTCAGGTGGTTGGATGACTCAGACTGACCTTCCTGTTCGCAGCCCAGCAGCTCCAGTCGGAGGCCGATGCCCTCTGCTGTCGCTCTCTCTGGGTAAATCCGGATGAACCGGGTCAGGAGCGGGCCGAGTAACCTCATCTCCGGGGTTTCATGGTTCTGGTTCCCAATGAAGATCTAAAGAGAAACACAGAACCGGGTCAGGTTCTACATCAGGTTCTAGGTCATATCAGGTTCTACAGGCATTCAGTTGCTCATCATTCCTGAAGAACTTCCTGGAAAACCAGGAAACATCCTCAGAGTAGAGAAGACAACCAACCATCCATCAATTCATCATCCATCCAACCAACCAATCACCCAACCAACAAATCATCCATCCATCCATCCATCCATCCATCCATCCATCCATCCATCCATCCATCCATCCATCCATCCATCCATCCATTTCCTCAGAAAAATTGGATTCCCAGAGTATTTCCTGTTTAGATTTCTCCAGTTGCCCATTGTCGTCTAGCAGCTGAAGTTGTTCTGAAAACCTTTAAGTCCAGCCAGAAACTGAATCTAAAGTCCAAACCGTTCACTCCCTCTCATGTCGATGAGCAGCTGCTGACCTCAGACCTGCTCCAAGATGGCGCCGCTTGTATCCAGAACCATCTTGAACGGTGTTTCATGTTTTGTCTTTTGCTTCAGCAACAACTGTTGGCCATCGCACTAAGCTTTCCTGTTTTGCCCAGAAGCAGCAGCTTTCCCACTGAGCGCCGCCCTGGCTGCCAGCTGTAATCAGAACCGTTGTGTTTTAAATCAGCGTGAGCGAGCTGACCTTCGGCCTGGTGGTGTTCTCCTCCTTAACGATGGTCCAGTTTTCACCGTCCAGGCTGTGGCCGACCTTGAACCTCTTCATGTAAACGTTGCGGTCGTGGTGTTTTCCTCCCTGGATCACCACACCGCTCAGTATCTTGTCCTGGCCCAGATCCACCTGCAAGGAAGGAAATGTGATGATTACGCACCATCATAGGATTATAAGCATATAAAATACAACCTGACCCAGACCACAGGGACTGTTGGTGTGTTTGAGTCACTTTTAATGTGGGAGCTACTGAAGAGGAGTCACTTGAATTCACACATATTTAGATTTTCTTTTGCTGTTTTAGAAATGCATACAAAAATATCTTAAAGGTAACTAATTATGCTTCCTTGAACAGGTTAGCATTGGTCTTTGGGCTAAACAAAACATATTAATTACAGTTTGTTTGTTTTTAACAAAGTCATTGTTTAAAAATGTGATCTCTCCTCCTCAGTTCTCTCAATTTTAGGGTTTTTTCAGAATTTGCTGTTTTAGGGCTTCTGTCACTTTTATGCAAATAAGCTGCTGCTGGCCACGCTCCCAAAGTCAACACTTAAACTCTGCACATGTGAAAGTGGCTCCAAACAAATGCAAATTATACAACAGTACATCTTTAACAGTGAGTGGAGTTCCGCTTGGGTTGCTAGGCAACGGGGCTGGGTTCCTTTGGGGTTGCTAGGTAACAGGACAATGCCTTGCCGATTCTGACTTAATAGTTTAGTTTTCTTTTTAAATGATTCCTTTTCCATCAGAAACATCGACTTATTGCCAGAAAGTGGCTGGATGAGTTTGATTTAATGTTTGGACTTTTTCTAGAAGCAGTTGAGACCCAAATGGTACTAAATAAACTCACAAAAAGTGAATTTTACATAATAGTTTCCCTTAAGCCACTTTATAAATTGTACAAATACTCATATCTCAGAGCATTCAGAGGTTTTGCCAGGTAATCCAAGCCGGCTGAGCTGCAGACTCACCTGCAGCCACTCGTTCTTGAAGGGCTGCTTGGTCTGCTGCCCGGTCCATCCCGACCTGCCCGTCAACAACCGGACGTTCTCGGCCACCCAGCCCCGGTCGGCGAAGGACGAAGCGTTGATCTGAGGGTCAGAGATCAGGCCCGACACCATGCCTAACATCGACGAGCACGGGTAGTCTGAGAGACGGGACGGCAGAGAGACAACAGAGGAAGCAGAGGTTAGGGAATTTAAATATGGAACCAAACACACAAAAATGATCAGGAATTTCCACAATGGATTCATTCAAATTGATAAAGTCAACTCAAACTCTGAATATGATCCTTTAACAAGGAAACAAGCAATTTTTCTAAAATGTATGGATTTAAGTTGGACAGTTTATCGACTTAAAGAGGTCAGGGAAAACTTTGATTAAAAGTTCAACCTGTATTTAGCCTCAATTATATTTTTAATGCTCATTCTCAGATACAGAAATAGTTTTCAGGATCTGTTTTACTTTCTTATTGCCTATTGGAATATTTATAGATTAGATTTTAGGATAATTTATCATTTTCAGATTGTGTCAAATTGTAAATCTTTTTTTGATTTACAAAATCTCATCATCCCCTCTTCAAAATATGCAATATCTCATTGGTAAGGAAATAAATGTTCCCTCAGCCAGAGTTTTACACAGATTTGAAACAAGTTAGTATTTAATAACACTTACATAAATACATTAACATAATTAAATAAAATTTAGCAAAGCTTATAAATCCTAAGGAAAGTCCAATATTTTTATCTGGCTGGTGCCAAACACTGTTAAGCTGGTTATGACGTAATAACTCAGTGCCAATAATCAAAATACAGTGAAATAATCTTACTTTAAAATATTTCCAGTAATATTTAAACTTATGGGAGCTAAAACAGTAATTCAACAAGGTAATTCAAATAGTTAGATCCTATAAATGTTGATTTGGCTGCAGAACCAGAGCTAAGGGTACAAAATGTCCTCTCCAGTGGAGAACAACTTAAATGTATGCATAGCCCGGTCCAGAGCACCAGATCTCCACTCAGCTGTATCAACTCCACTCAGCTCCTTCTGAGAGTTTCACATCAGAGACGGGGAATAATGTCTGAGGATGATTAATGAGCCAGAATGATCTCGCACAGCTTCACTGTAATGAATAATTGTGTCCTTCAGTGGGGAGGTTTCGCCCAGTTTGGACGTAATAATTATTTAAAATCAACAGAAAGCAGTGGGGGTGTAGCTCCCCAAATGGTAACCGTGTAAGGTTGATGCGTGATGTGCAGAAAAACCGGCAAAAAATATGTGTTTATGGGAAAGTCAGAAGTGGAAAAACAAATCAAAACAAGCACCGATGTTGGGAAAAACATGCAGAAAGAGGCTGAATCAGTGGGTTTAACAGGTAGACATGGAGTTCTGCCTCACACCTGACAGTCTGCAGCCGTAGACCTCAAAGCGCATGCAGATGCCTTGCTCCCAGGTAAGCGGGCGGATACGAACGAATCGGGTCAGAATCGGTTTGGGGAAGAAGGCACGGACTTCGTCTGTTGGATTGTGGTTCCCCAGAAAGATCTGGAAATAAGAATAATAAAAAAAATTGTTTCTGTTTTTGTTAACAGATTTGAGAAAACCAATTAAATATTGTGAGAGAAAAAGTCTGAATTGAGCTGATTATCATAAAGTGTACAAAGGCGGGCATTTTAATAGGCTGGTAAGATATAAAGTGTAAAATAAAAACTAGTTAGCTACTAGCTAGCCATTTAGCTAGCTAGCGTATGTACAAGCTAGATATTAGCAGCTAATTAGCATTAATCTGAAGTCACAGAAAGAAATGAAGACTTTGATAAAATCAAAAATTAATAAAAGTATTTAAGGCCAACTTACATGTTTAACAATTAATTTAAGACATTTTAAGAACTTAATTTTAGATCAGTACTATTGGTACAAAATAAAACAATCATAATTTTGATAATTTTCTGACAACATTTAGGCTAAACTCACAATAGCAAGCTTCCCATGCAGTCTGTAATTAAAAAAAAAATCATTTTCCAGGCCTGGATAAAAAAAGTGGAAAAATTATATGAAAAAATGTTTTATTTTCCAGACTTTACTTTTCTAGAAAGACAAAAATCTTCTAAAAATGCTCTGTTGTCTAAATAAATCACTCTTTAAATTGCATATTTTATATGTCTGATTTGCAACATTTGCATTTTAACCAAGAGTATTTAGGCTTTTTAGTTGTTCTGTAAGAAAAGGTCACCAAATCAGAGTAAATGCCTCAAAATCCACAATGTGCAGTTAGTAGAAGCATCCTGACAATGAGACCTGACAGATACAAGGTGAATATCACAGATAACAACACGTATCCAGACAGTGAATTAAAACAGTGAGATAGCTGATCTTTGCCTTCTGCTTTGAGCCCTCCTTCACTGTGATCCAGTCCTCTCCGTTGGTGCTCAGGTCCACTTTGTAGGAGCGGACGAAGTAATGCCTCTGGGTCTCTATTGAAATGGCTCCCTGGGTCCCGATGCTGGTGACGTATCTGAGGAACCCCAGGTCGACCTGCAGACACAAAAACAACAACGGGTCAGTAAAATGGCTTCCAGGAAGGTTCTGTTCAGGTCAGTAAAGCCTGACACATGCATTCTTATTTTGTAAAGTTGATTTATTCCTCATTCCTGCCTATTTGTAGAATTTTTTCTGGAATGTAGTTACAAGTTATTTGCCAAAAATCTGTTTATTTGTTGTTGTTTTTTTAATTGAGCTTATCTAAAATACTTTTTAAAAAAGCATTCTGATTGGGGAGCTAAAATACTTAGCCACAATGCTAGCTGACATGCTAACACTAATGGCTGATGTTAGCAAACCAGCCAATCCAGGAGCGCCATTTATTTTCTTCATCACTGACTGATGAAGTATTTTTCTTTAATAACGATGTTTAATAAATAAATCCCCAAAAAGTTAAAATAAATATTTACCTGTCACTAAAACAGCAACTGTGCAAGACCATGTTTATATTTTGGAGTTTTGAGAAACAAAGACTGCTCTCAATGTGAACATTTTTGGCACTAATGGAGAAAGTTTGGACACCCCTGTGTTTGGGTATAAAGCATGAATAAAGTCACCATCTGATAGACATCACAAGACTCTTCAGACAGCCTTAAAATAGAAAAGAAATTCAATTACAGCTGAGTTGATTTTCCTTTACTGCAAGTCAGCTAAAGGCGAACACAGTCAAACTCAATTACTTTTATATTTCTAATAGCAAACTGTGATCTTTTTTCTGCCTTACATACAAAAAACCCCCACGTCTCTTTATCTATAAGTCCCAGGATCAGAATCACATTCCTTGGAAACAGTTTTCCTTTTATAATCATGAAACTGTGATCAGAGTAGATAAAATGAAATGCATGTGGAGTGTGAGTTCTGTTTAATCTGAAAAGGAGGCAGTTCAAACCGTCTTTACCCAGAAAGCAACAGTGAAAAGATTAATAAGCTGATTGTTATCAAAGAGTAACAGAGATAGCAAAAAGCCTTACAGTTTTTATGCTGTTAAAGGGGAAATATGCAAAATTCACATCTTGAATATTTTTGTACTTACATTTGGGTTTCTACTGCTCATAAAAACAACCCAAGCTCTTAAAAACCCATCCAACCAGTTTTTGGCAATAAGTTAATGTTTTTTGGTGTCTGGTAAATGATTAAGTCATATTCATTGGCACCCCATCATCACCTAGCAACCCCATTCCCGTCACCTAGCAACCCCAGCTGAGCTCCACAACGTTTCAGCCGCTGGTTTTACCGGGTTTTGTTGTAGATTTATCATCCAGAAACCACTAGCGGTGTTTTTGTTAGTTGTGCAGGAGGCTCCACTTCTGCTTTTCAAAGATGTATGGTTGTATAATTGTGCATCTTTTTGCAGCCATTTTCATATGTGAGTCCAAATGTTGAGTTTGGGGGACCTGGTCAGCAGCAGCTAATTGAGATTTCAAACAAGATGACCAAAAGCAGCTAGAAACGCGGAACTGAGCAGACCAAATTCCCAAACCTAAAGAACACGTATCACCCATAAACCTATCCCAACTTGTTCAAGGAAGCATAATAGGTCACCTTTAACAAATAGTAGTGGCTATCTAAACTGAAAATGGTTTAAAGTTGTTCTGCATCACAGGATTTCCCTTTGAATCAAAGCATGAAACGGGTCTAATTATGCAATCTATGACACTACTCTCCGTTCGACTTCCATTACAATCCTGTTTGTTGAGTTTGGGCATTATGAGGCCAGAATAGGCGCTCTGCTTCAGCGTGTGTGATGACCGCCGCATGCAGCGTGTAATTATACGACCGAAGAGATGCTGCTCTACATGGGAAGGCCCCAAAGTGCGGGTGTTGACTGCTCCTGCCGAAGCTTTTTCAGGGAAGGAGCAGGAAATAGCATGCCACAGGTCTCTGCGGGATCTGTGATTGACAGGGAGACCCCTGGGAAATCATGTTGCGTGGGATGGCTCTCCGCCGCTCCCACGTCTCTTCTCATCTAAATTCCCACGAGACGCAACACTTGTTTGCACTCAGCCCATATGAAAATGTCGCATGTAGGAAACATGTCTGCGTTGCTCATTAAAGACTAAACAAACGATGCCTTTTAAATTAAATCGTGTTTTATGGTGTTTATTTGTAACTCAGTGTCGCCTTCAAAGAGAAGTAAAACCAAGACATAATTTTTACAACATAGTCTCGTAGATTTGGTTAAATTGGGGAGAAAAACAGCAACATTTTGCTACATTTTCACTGCACTGTGTCAAACAAACAAAACCCTTTGAGACACCTGTTCCCCTCCTCGCCTCCGGGGGCGCTGCACCAAGAACCACTGCAGGAAACGACATAAAAACCTCAGAAAAAGAGACAGAGCACAACTTATCTTCACAAAACGTAAACAAAAATGGAGGAGCGTCAGATTTTATTGGTTGCAGGATTTCTCTTTTGACTTTGGTAAAAAATCATGAGCCATTTCTCCCGCTAGCGCTAGTTAGCCTGTTTGTTTTGGTTGTACTTACCCAGAATGCCCTGCGCTGTATTCCACTTCCTGCTTCTGGAGCGGTCTCCGGTCTGCTTGTCGTTCATATGCATTCGAACAGCACCAGAGTTCACTTCAATCAAACCAAGACTGAGGTTTGTTGGCGGACTAAAGTTAGTTTTTTTGGTCCACATTATGGCAAAAGGCCACAATCAAATCAAATTCTGGTGCTGGTAATACAGCTAATATGTCTGTAAGCCATCAGCTGTCTGACTACTGACCTCAAATCTTGTTTTGACCAACTGTTAGGTATAGTTCTATTTGAAACTACCAATAATGTCACCTGAAATCGGCTTTAGTTATGCTAGCTCCTATGTAGCTACAATGTCTAGATACACAGACATAGCTACATAGGAGCTGGTCACTACTTAGTAGCTAGTACCCATAGTTATGGAAATGCTAGCTACATGGTCATAGCAATCATAACTATGTAGCCAGCATGCTAGCTACATAGGAGCTAGCAGATATTGTTAGATATTAACTTGCTCATTTACAATAATTTACCTGTTGCTTTAAGTTAGTATTTGAATTTGCTCTCGCCATTTGATGTTTGATTATTGTGTTTTTTAAAAGTCAAGCTGGAAGTTTGATGTTAAATCTACATGGAAAAGGAAATGACAAATATCGAGTTTCATGTTTTCTGAGACTTTCTTCTTGATGTTTGGCTACATCAATAAACCGTGGCTCAAACAAATCATGAACAACAATTTCAGTTAAAGGTTTTCACAACAGGTTTAGTCCAGCAGGGGAAGCTACACATTAATCTTAGAGCATCTTCAACTCAAATCCTCTTCCAAACTAATTAAACAGATCAACTGAATGAGTGTTTAAACAACCCCAAACTGAACGAGGAAGTAGGTCATACAGTCAGTTTCACATTTACATACATAAGATGTAAAAAAGTCAGGAAAACGTAAATATTGATGAAAACATTCATATTATCCAGTGTTTAAAAGGAAAATGAGTCAATGATTAAGTTCAAATGCAGCAAGAGGAGGCTAACGTACGAGATCCAGCCTCCAGAGATTAAAGTGAACAGACTGACTGGTTTTTCCTTTTGAAACAGGAAAACTCTCAGTGTTTACAGTAATCCTTTGGCTCATTGTTCCATTTTCCACACTTCCTCCATCAACTGGCTGAAGGTAATTGGCCTTCCATCTCCTAATTGCTCAGTGGCTGGCACTGCCAACTATTTATAACAGAGAAATACTCTCACTTAGAACTTTTTAATGAAGGAAAACAAACTGCAAGACGGGAACATAACTCGTTTAAATTTGGCAAATTAGGATTAAACTTTAATGATGCCACAGCCTTCCAAATGGGACCTAGCTATAATAAAAATAAAACCCTTAATTACCCCATTCTTATCTGGGGGTTCAGCACTCGCTGAGTTTCTCTGTGCTTGTATTCAGTTACACCACAAATTGGACTTCATTAGTTTTTTTCAGTAATTAGTAATTGTAGTGTTTCTTATTAATCTTCTCTGAAGTAAAGAAGCATATTGGAGGCCTAGACATATCCGAAAATAAAACAAATGATACACACGCTTCAATTATTAGTGAAATTTATGTATTTAAATGGACCTGAAAAGGTTCCACTGGCCTATTTCAAACACTGTAATGTAGCCTAGACATTTGAAAATTGGTACACAAAAATAACTCTCCAAAAGACGAACAAAGAAAACTATCAGTCCCAAAAAACAACAGTAGTCGGCCATTTTGTGTCAATGGTAGTTTGGTAAAAACTGCCAACCCCTTATTCTATTTGCTTCGTATAGCGGGCTTGGACTGTTGGCTATTGTTAAATGATTGCTTCCTGGATGCCTGGACTCTGTTGAAGTTTTAAATCTGATTTCACTCAATCGCTAATGTTTGGCCGTAGCATTTGTAATGACCAGCTTTGTTCACTTCCTCAGCTGCCATTGCTGAAACTACAACCAGATTACAGACTACAATCTAAAACAGCACAGAAAATCAACATTTACAATCCCAACTCATCCATTTCTTTGAATTCAACTGAAGAAATCAAGCTGAATGGGAGAAATCCAAGATGGAAAAGTGAAGGGAGATGAGAATCGAGCAGAAATGCGATAAGAGACTTTCTGGTTTTTCATAAAAAATGGAGAGGAACTTAACCAGAACTGTTTTGTTTCAGGAAGTATTTTCCTTAATAAACTTCATGCTTTTTATTCATCTTGAATCTGAGTTTACTGGAGTTCCACAAGATTCTGTTCAAGGTCCAACAATCTCTACATTATATTGTACTTAATTAATTAAACTGAATCAAAATGAAAGGTTTTTAAAGTTATTACTAAACAATGTTAAATATTCAGGAATATTGAATAACTGCAAGTTAATCCCATTTATCTTGTGAACCATGAAGTTTTCTTTAGTGTGATCAATCTGTTTTTACAAGTTTCTCCTGATATTTTCCAGGTTCATAAGTAAACATGGAGAAATTTGCTCCGGGTCGGTCAACTCTTTAAGGC